CCACTGCAAAACAAAATTAAAGAAAATGATGACAATAAAGCTGCTTACTAAATGCTGAGGATACCTATGGGTGGTGGTTGGGAAAACCGAGAAAAGGAAAAATCTACTTCTACAAACACTGATTACGGATAGGCACAAAAAACACTGGTTAAAATAAAGGGGTGAGACAACAAACTATATATTAACTAAATTTACATACAGTACGTAACAAAAAAGCATAATTAACAAAATACCAAAGAGCAAAAAAAAGTACATGATAACAAGTGACAAAAGGGATAAATTTGCTCCAACATGGTCCTTGTTTTTGTGTTGACCAAATAAATGTGATAAGTTATATGTGGACCTTAAGTTCAAATAGAGGGTCAAAACTTAGTCCTCGTCTTGCAAGATAGACCTAACATTTGATTGAAGTAACAGTATTTAATCTTCTAAACTGATTGATGTTGTAATAATATTGCCTTTTGTTTATCTCACTAATATTAATATTGGAAATAATAAAATTACCAGTAAGAAATGGTACATTTATTCCTTTTGCTAGTCTTGTTTATGCTTGATTCTAATTGATGCTTAAATTTTCCAAACATTTCAGGAAAACGTTTTGTTAGAAATTCACCTGTGAACCATAATAATGAATATAAACCCTAAAAAGTTCATTAAAAGTTGAATTTTGTACAAAAAACCTCTTAAAAGGCACTGAGTATCCTTTTCATGGAAACGCACATTTGTAGACAGTTATTTATTTTATAGAATATTTATTAAAATTTTCCCACAATTTCTATAGTTTAGGATTACCATAATTGATCATGTCAAATTTTCTGCATGTGCTAGGGAAGGTCTGTCAGCTAGCATAAATGTTGTTTCCTTTTTTTCAGTACACAGTATTTTGCTTTGGGTCAGATAAGTGTTACCAATTAAATGTTTATTAATTTTGGTCATCATTAGAGACTGTAACATACTTTCTATTAGTTCTTCAATTGAGGAAGGTATGGCTTCTCTTCTTTCCACAGAAATTTTATTATATGTTACTTGGGGAGAGGAGTTTCCGATTATAATTTTACTGTTGTAAGAAAAAGGGCAGGGAGATAGAGGGAATGATAGTTGTTAAGAAGATTTAAAATAAAATTGATTTAATAACCTTGCAATGTACTGCAGTGTTGGCATTGGATTCTTTTAAATTTTGTAAAAATTTTAAAATTGTTGAACTCTGTAATAGCAATCAACCTGTGCATTCTCCACACATCAATACATTTCTCAAACTGGAAGAGACATTAAACAAACCTGTCAATGAGTAAGAATTCAACTGAGTTAGATGGAACTTCTCCTACTCTGTAAGTAATTATACCCTTTCACTAATACAAGTGACCAAGACAGAATTTCTCCTTACAATATCAATACAATATAAAGCAGGTAGGTGTTGAGAATAGAGAAGAATATCAATTATGGGATTATTAGTGGATTCCAATACCTAGTTCTCTGAACTAG